TTTACGCTTTTTTCGATCACAAATTTCGCAGACATATAATCGATTCTTTGGTTTGTCGAACATTTCCCAAAGATGATCCGAAGGAGTTCAAAACAGAGAGCAAAAGTGGAGCGAGTACATCTGTTGATACAAATACGAATAATACCTCTGTTTAATTGGAATCGAAAACATTTCATGTATTGGAACTTTCATAGCCGATAGACTATTTATAATATTATAGTACAGTTGACTTATTTTAATATATATTATATCAAAATATTGTTGCCAAGTGTTTTTTGTTTTTGTTTTTGGTGATTATATGACATATATAAAACAAGCAGATGTGGTATGATTGCCAATGAGACAACCATCCTCCATAGACCAGAGACGTAGATGCTCGCAATTACATGTCATCGTACAGCCTTCAACAATGAGCTAAACCCATACCACATAGCAAGCTATAAAAGTTCCTGACATGACAAACTAGATGCTCTAAAGAGCCTGTTTCGCTCGCCTAAGTCTATGCACATCTTCAGCAATGGTCACTCACCAATATTGTATATATAATGCATGACGAAAATCTCTTTTTTTGTAACTCATGTATTGCTGATATTTTTTTTCTGTTCATAGTTTCTCTCCATTTTCTTTAGTTTTTACCCAAAACACAAAAACGGTAAAATTAAAATAACAGTTTTAAAAACACTACTAGAAGTCAAAAACGCAAAAATAAAATGACAAAAATCCTCTTAAGGAATTTGCTATTTAAATTTCTATCTGTTAATTTTAAAGGTGTCAGACCACCAATTAAAAATCGCTATCTGTTCAACCAAATTATGCAATTTTCACAGCTTTCTAAATATTTTACCTTAAGTTTAACCTCATAGAAACCAGGTATATCCTGAATAGTACATGTATCACCTTTCTACATGCCAATTTTCAACCTACCTTCAAAGTCTTATAAGAAAAATCTGACCTTCGGAACACAGGTACTAGCAAACTATCCCCGGGTTTTCTGGAAATCTTAAATTAGTATACTATGGAGCGCATTAATCCTGAATTTTTAATGCCAACTCATAGACAAGTACATTTTGGCTCAAAATGGTTTAAATATATTTCTCTTTCACCAAAAGTTTCATTTCTGCAAATTTGTTGGTTAATTTAAGTAAACAATGACATCAAAAGCACTATTTTGTGTCAGAGTAGGGCTACTTTTACTTACGTTCTAAATTGGAGGGAGTAATTGGTGGTCTGACACCTAAAGTTTTCAAGATAAAAGGCAAAAACACAAAACATTAATAAAAATTGTCTATGAGGAGTCGACTGACGATTTCGGCCATTTAGATTATTTGTAGATCTTGTCTTACTGGTCATTTTTTTTTTTAAAGTTTTTCTCTATCTGGGATAACAAGAAAAGAGCTGTAACATTGACAGCCAACTGCGTTTACTGTATGTTGAAGCCACTGTCAGTCTTGTTTGGCCTGTCACATTCTGTGCCTATTTTCGAATCTATATAAATTCATTAATTTGAAATTGACCTCTGTTTTGTCATCAGTAACAACATATTAAAGTTTGAAAAGCCTTGATTGAACGATTCATTAACCCGAATAATTCAGTCCCTCCCCGTAATCGATCTCTCCTACTTACGAGGTTGATATAGCAATCGTAGAGCTGCGAAATATAACGACTGAAATATTCGGCTTTACTGTTCATAGACTATTAAACGGAAACAGCATAAAGTGCAATTTTCCAATCTATCAAGGACCATAACTCCTGAACGAAAAAAGTGAAAATCGCCAATATTGAACTTGACCTCCATTTTGTAATCACTAACAAAATGTTAAAATTTGAAAAGCAATGGTTGAACTGTTCATAGATTATTATACGGAATCTATATAAAGTGTCATTTTCCATTATATCAAGAACAATAACTCCTGAACGGTACAAATGAAAATCGTCAATATTGAATTTGACCTCAGTTTTATCACCCGAGTAACACCATGTGAAAATTTGAAAAGCATTGGTAGAAGCTGTTGACCGCCGCCCGCCGTAATATCCAAAATTATGAACTAGATTTTTTCCTTTGGAAAATCCAGTTAAAATGGTAAAGTTCGTCATTTTAAAGCATTTTAAAAGTAGTACTCGTATAAGAAGTTTTCTGACGGATTTGATTTGAATAGATAGTAGTTAGATATCAACATTTTGAACATTTCTGCCCAGTAAAATTTTCTCTATCTATAGCGGTTTTTAAGATAATAGACACAAATTGCATTTTAACCCTATGTTCTATTTAAGCCGTGTCGGTCATGCTGGTTTTCGGACAGGATCATCTTACATTTTTTCAAACTAGTTACATTAAGGATGATTGTTGCCAAGTTTGGTTCCAATTGGTCCTATAGTTTCAGAGAAGAAGATTTTTATAAAAGTTAACAGACGACGGACGCCAAATGTTAAGAATAGCTCACTTGGCGCTGTGATACCAAGGTGACATTTAAAACCCAGAAGTCGAAGAAAAACTGAAAACGCTATGTCAAAAAAAGGAAACAAAATGTAGAATTCATGAGAAAACCAACGGCCTGGTTTATTTACAAAACAACATACAAGAAACAACCACTGAAGAACAGGCTCCCGACTTACGCCGGGCACATACAGAAAGTGGCGAGGTTAAGAATGTTCACGGGCGCCCAAACAACACCTAACCTTAGACATAGGTGAAACACCACAGCATAAGAACAAACTATAAAAATCAGTGGAAAGGGACTTGACTCTTTAGATCGATAAAACGCACAACTAAACCAAATGACAATAGCACTAAAGACACAAAATACAGATCTAAGAGTACTCGGAGTTACTGAAAGCCGATGACAAAAAAAGAAAATCATGCATCTAGACAAAAAATCAATCTGTACACATCAAATGGATTTAGTGGAAAGACGTTATATACAGTCTAGATAAAAATGACCATGTGCAATGCCGAAATATAAGTATCGACAGGATGTGAACTGTAAGTGCTTATAACTGTGTATCAAAACATATTTAGTTATGTATTAATTTAATGATATGATAACCAAATCAATGTAAGTACCGATAAAAACAATACTGAAAAATCTTATTTCAGTGTTAAAGTGAAAACGGGCTCCAAAAACAACATAATCGGAATAATTTGGATGTGACATCCTTTTAGTAATTACTTTTCTATGAGCACAGCGAAACTTCTAACCCAAATCTTTGTATCTATAAAAGAATCTAGTAAAGGTTTAATGGATTTTGTGGTAACGAAATCCCTGACCTATCAATTTACTAGTGATACATAGATTACGTTCATTAAGCTCTATAACGTCACTACAGACACGGGCATAGCAAACGATTATATAAACACCGTATAAAGATGGGAACAAAGGAACATTACTGTCCAATATATATTCTCTCAACATATATATTACGAATGAATATATGTAAAACAGTGAAACGGGAGGAGATTAAGTAGAATATCTTTTAATAGGATTTAATGTTTTAATCGTCAAAATGTAATTATTCGGAATTAAAAGTATTTAGTGCATTTACAGCCTTTATTACTCTCCTCTCAAAAGATTTTTACTTTAACATGTTAATGAGTGTTATACAAATACTTCGAGCTTCGCTCTTACCCCATATGCAATTTACTGACCCCATATATGTATATCGTATTAGGTCATTAACACACTGTGTAACGAATTTATCTTACCGACTATCTTTACATCTGGCATTTAGACTACTGGACTATCAAAGTGATCAAGTCTTCAATATAAAAGAACCTTCTGCCAATAGTCTATACAAAAACAAATGCCAACAATAACAACTTGTTAGCTTTTAATGTGTTTTCTGCATTTATTTCAATCGTTCATCATCAATTTCTTCATCTGTTGTCCGGGTGAAACGTTTCAGATTTTTCCTCAATGCCATGTTGTTTTTTATAAAGGGACGTAACACCACTACTAACCGTGTATTAAAATAAACCACATCTGCTAACCCCATATTAAATATACATGGTCTACATGCGGTCGTTTTTAACCAATGATATTCATAGAAATGTATAGGCTCACACCACAAATTACATATACTCAGTCTGAAATGTAGTCCAACAATGTTAGATCTGCAAATTCTGTTTATTGAATATTGATACAACTGTATGGCAAGTATTTTCATCCTTGATATATTTTGATTGTCATTATTATGAACAACATATATTATTCATAACATGTAATATTTTTCAATGCAGTAGTAACTTCAAATTTAATTTGCCTTTAGTTGTTTACAGATAAGTTGCTTCTTACGCTCAGGGATAATGATTAATGTTTTCAACCTAAAACCTAGGCGTCATTATGTACCAGGTACAGTTTATGATTTCTCATTAAATTACCTACCTGCTATTATTAAATCAGAATGAGGGTATTCACAACATTTTTTTACCTGAATATTTACGACCACTCTCGGAACTGAGTTCTATGCATAATTTATGGTCGCAAAGCCCTGATGCATATCAAAATTCTAATCAGTTCTTGAAAGCTTTCATCTCGGATTTTGCCCTTACAAACATTTTAGACATGTCGGCTTAGAAAAAGATGACACAAAAGAAAGCTCATTCTAAAGCGTCCTTGTTCTAATAGCAGTCGTGATTCATCTGTAATAGCCAAAACCACGCAAAATAAATATTTTTCTTCTACAAAAACGTTTGGGGGATTCTAACATTCGCACTGGTGAAGCATTTAAGTAAGGAAAAAGTTGAACATTTTGATAGTATTTAGAATATTTGAAATTCTTCTAATCCACTTGTTGTTTTACAACTTTATTGACATAAAGCACACGGGTCGACAAAATTGAATTTTTACCGGCAAATATGCAAAACAGAAAACACACTTGTAATATCAATATCTTATTGGGTAAGGGTTGAATTCTATACTATTCCTCAGCCTGCATGTGTCAAGTAATTTTGAAATGTATTAAGTACATTGTCTTATTGACATGCATTAAGGAAATAATTGAAAACCAATATAAGTATATTTTATTAAAGTAGAATGTACAAGCGATAAAAAAAGTCTTTTTTAAATTTCGTGCATCCGAAGCGCTTTCCTGGATTTACCTTCACCTGTAACGCTCAATCATACAAATCTAAAAGCCAAGGATGAACAAAGACCTGAAAACGTGTGGAGCTTGTTATAAGACATGTCAGTACGGAGGCACAGATTATTTATTGGGCTGATGGTACATTTAATATATTGTAATTCAGCAAATTTGCAAAAAAAAAAAGCATTCGTCATTCCAGACTTATCTATACTAGTATGAGTATCAAATTGAATACACAAATACAAAACCTTCTAACCTCTCACCCAAAACACTTACACACACACATATATACACACACACATATATACACACACACACACACACACACACACACACACACACAAATACATTATTCGACGATTAATATAATAAATGAGAAATGAGAAAAGTTAAACGTTTACATATTTCCATGCATTTATTTTTCTATAGTATCACCATCATATGTGTATATTATATCACACGATTATAATTAGTTTGATTATTTCTAGCCAAATAGCGATACTGGTCATTCTTTAAACAAAGTTACATGTTATTCTTGACATATAAAGATAAGTTGGTATTTCCTTCTTTGAACGCCTCATAGTAAGAAAACCAAATAAATCCATGATCCATTCCTTTATAGTTTTCATGTTTCACATCATGACCGATGTTTCTCATCCTAGCTGCTAAAATATACCCCTCATCTCTTAATCCGTCAAGATCGCAGGTCATAATTAGAGTTTTTGGAAGCGTTTTCAGTTGCTTGTCCGTCATCATTAAAGGTGCATAATATGGATTAAGTAGTATTTTCTCAACTTCTTGCACATTTGGAATAGAACTTTCTACGTCATCATTTGGAACAGTTTGATATTTTTCTGGAAGTAGTTTCGGATCAACCAATTTTCTATACATTTTCTTTGATGCACTTGTCACGTGGCTATTGTTGACAAACGAAGCAGTGTAGTTTAAATGACCAAAGGCGTACATATTTAACCAAAATATCATCAACCCTTTTGTGACAAGGGTACATTCTTGTCTTTCATGAACATCAAATTCTTGGAATGATGATAAAGTTAAATCTAAAGCTTGTAATGTTGGGTAGATAAGAACTTGGAACCGTAAGGGAGGTAATTTCAATTGTTGTTCTCCTATCTTTAACGAGACAGCCATAGCTAAATTACCACCTGCACTGTCCCCTGTTCGGAAAAAAAATCATCACTTTAAAATTTTAACAACTCATCCATAGCTACACATTTCATTATTGATTAGATGAAAATCTTTGTTAACTATGTATATGTTCTAAAACATAGCTAAATGTCAAATTGGATTGCTAGGTTAGAGGCAACTGTAATTTAACGTTGTCCAAATCTCATAAATTTTATCAAGAAGATACACATTTAAATAAAAAAAACTGAGGGAATTGCATGAACTTTTTGTTTGTATTATCTATTCATCCTGTGTATTAGGACTTAGAGTTTCAAATATTTGGGCCTCGAAGATCATTTGATTGACATTAATTGTCAAATTACGCAACTGGTGCAGTAGATTAAGGACACTTCAGTTTACCGATGTTCAGATCTCGTAAATCGATTAATAAGATACAGTTTTTGTGTCTGGATCACATCCCTTCAAGTGAAGTCCATATAATTTGAACATTCACTAGCGTACATTTGTAACGCATTAATTGAGATAACACTTAGGGTTGATGAGAAAAGGGAAGTTGACAATTGGAAATCTGAAATCATCACATTAGTGGTGGGATTCGTGTTGCTCAGTCTTTAGTTTTCTATGATGTGTTTTATGTACTGTTTTGTGTACTGTTGTTTGTTGGTCTTTTTCGTTTTTAGCAACGGCGTTGTAGGTTTATTTTCGACTTATAAGTTTGAATGTCCCTTTGGTATCTATCGCCTCTCCTCTAGTCGTAGATTCTAGTATGAAATCTTCCATATGTGTCCATGTCAAGGACAAGATCAAGATACGAAACAAATCATCTAGTTTCGATAGTACCTTTAATCTCAAGTTCATATTACTCTTCACGAGTTTCTGTACACTTATACATCCATGGCTTTCAAGAAATTGATTTCTAGCGTTCTTGATGAAGGTAAACACAAAAAGCGCTTTTGAAATAAAATTGATAAAGTGTTTTTTTCATTTTTTTCTTTGGGATATATGACATGTAAGAGATGCAAGCACTCACTGAAATGATGATATTCAGTGACAGAATATCATCAGAATATCATCAATGTATCTTAATGAGAAATTACAGAACTTTGCTAGATTCTTCTCTTTTTGTCTTTAAGAAGGCTCTTTACGAAACAATTTTGCATACATGTATATTATTTATATTATATTCATGATATTGATGGAATCGAAAGAAAAAACATAATTAAAATAATATAAAAAAAAAAATAACGAACTGAACGGTACAGGTATCCTTTTCATGTAGTATTTTCTGAAATTTCTTAAATTTTGAAAGATGATAAAGACGCTGTCGGCTTTATCATTATTTTACCTGCCAGACCAATTCGTTTAGTATCAACTCCGTGGTCCTTGCCCTTTTGCAGTAAGTAAAGTGTTGCCTTTACACAGTCGTCAAAGGCAGCAGGGAAAATGTGTTCCGGCGCTTTTCTGTATCTACAAAAAAGGCTACATAAGTCCGTCATTAATACAAAATGAGAGTCGAAAGATACCAAAGGGATATTCAAAATTCTTCCTTGTAAGCAGCAACAGTCTATCAAGGAAATCATGAAAGGAAATGCAAGCTCTGAAATATCGTATCAACTGGGAGATATATACTCCATATGCAGGTGCTGCTGGAATGTTGCTACATAGAAATGGGAAGTTCACAATTGGGAAGCTGAAATCACCCCTTTTGTCTTAAAGCTTTGTTCTCAACCGACACCTCATTGTCAATTTCTAGATGTAAGTCAAGATATGGGGCAGACTTAACTGTATTTGTTACAACTTTCTTTTAACATTAACACTTACATTTCCTAAAAAAGGACTTAATATGTTCACATGTTTTTCTCATTAACCGTCTTTTTATCTGGTGATATTACCCCTGCCCTGTGTTGTAATTCCAAAGACATAGTGGGGTCGATTTACTTAAAGATCATTACCTGGTGCTTTTTTATTATTATTTTGATTATTTAAATTTTTTTCCTATTTGAAATGGAATGAAATACATAAAACAATTAACTTTTAAACTTTTGAATTCATACCAAAACACACGAGTAATTTATTATTGAATAATTACGTATTGTTAGATAATGATACTATACTTACTCAACAAATATTATGACAAAATCAGTGGTAGATGACAGTCTTTTCATTACATTGTCATATTTATCTGAAAGACATTGGACGTATTTTTATCATGTAAAAACAATTTGATGATTAACACAAAGAATCCCAAGATAAAATAAAAAAAAAAAAAAAAAAAAAAAAACAACCGTAAAATTTACAACTTTTTATTGATCATTTGGTAATGAGTCTGATCAATGAAGGTAATTAGAAAGTGGAGTCAGAACAATGGCTCGGTCGTCGTCTAGTATAAAAAGGCCAAATCCATGTAGATGCAAATATATTTTGTGCGTCCGAAGCGTTTTCTGGATTTACCATCATCAGGAACGCTCATACCTAAATATTTCAAAGCCAAGAATGTATAAATACGTAGAAACGTTTGGGGCTTCATGACCAAACGGGATCTATAAGATGTAATCAAATTAATCTAAGGTCATCTTTGCCCAAAGGAGATGGGGCCTAAGTTTCTTAATAGACCAAAGACAATTAATTCTATTTGAATTTATGATTGGAAACCCTTGTTACAAATCTATAATATATTCAAAACAAACTTTTAACTTTCATCTTGGATACCGCCAGTCAAAGTCTTTTCAGTCCTGTTGTAATTGAAAAAAAGATACCAAAGAGAAACTTTATCATCAATCAGTTAAATCTAAAACAAACTTCAAAATTATCTATCAATCATCATTTACACCTATACAAAATTGATTGTGACTACAATTTTTAACCATTAACACACTATGCAGGGTCTCATTATTGACAAACTCAACCTAGACGCCTTGATCTGATTTCACGCACCTGTGCAAGCGCTACAATCAAATACGCTGACCACATTATAACTAGTGGCCACAACATTGTCAACTATTCTTCTCCACGAAATGTGCTAACCAAGCAGCTAAAAACTAATAGCAAGAAAATCATAAATTGGCAATACAAGTCACAGAAATCGCCCTTACAAGTAACACTTTTGACTATAATTTAAATTATTATACCTTACATATTTGATAATTATTCTATTGGGAACACATTATCACGTGACATGGAATAGATCATTTAATTTCATTTGAATGCAAGGAAGGACGAATAACCCTACAAATTTACACCCAGTTGGGAATAACCCTATTATTTATCGGCCGATGGATTACCCTATTATCCACCGACCGGTGAATAACTGTTTAAGCATCCTGATTTGTATACGAGTTATCTCCCCTCACAATGACGTCACAGACGTATAGCAAAATGACAACGCCAATGGCCAGGTTAGAAGCCCAACGTGTGAAGGCATTGCATATAAATAAAGAAGATGTGGTATGAGTGCCAATAAGGCATTGAAATTCATCTAAGGCCGAGGATATTCCTCATAAACGGTCCTTTTCCAGGCCATCACTATTTTGCAGAAAGGATCAGAAAGAGTAAACGTTTGTTGTACATACGAGAAATTAGACACTCTTAAACACAAAATAATTTTCTTACGCGAGTATTTTAGCAATCTGTTACTGCATTACAGGCCATATTTGTATATTATAGATATTGACTTTAAAGTCCAAAATATTCTATTGTTTTTTCTTATGTTGTGCTGTTACACCACTGTCCCAGGTTAGGGGAGGGTTGGCGCGCCCGCAAACTTGTTTAACCTCATCACATTCTGTATATGCCTGTCCCAAGTCAGGAGGCTGAAATTCAGTGATTGTCGTGTTTTGCTCTATATCATTTATATGTTTTTTCTTGTTAATTTTTTCGTACACAAATCACGTCGTTAATTTTTCGTTTGAATTGTTTTACATTTGTCATTTCGGGATCTTTTATAGCCTGCTATGCGGTATGTGTTTTGATCATTGCCAAGAGACGTACGGTTACCTGTAGCTGCTAGCCTTCTACGTGCACATACTTAAAGGGAAATGGTAGTTTTACATTTCAACCAAAGAGCAAGAACTCGATCTTCCCTCACTAACAGGGTACTTAAATATAATAGTATGTGGAAAATAAAATTATTTTGTAATCTGTTGAGAGAAAATACAATGCAAGTCCCGCTATTCATGTTGTAGTATGTAAAGATCTGTTGAGAGAACATGCAATGTAAGTCCACTATTCATGTTGTAGTAAGTAAAGATGATCCGTTGAGAGAACATGCAATATTAGTCCCTTTTATTCATGTTGTAGTATTCAAAGATCTATTGAGAGAACCTGCAAAGTAAGTCCCTTTATTAATGCTATAATATTAGATGATCTGGTGCAATGTACGTCCCTCTTTTCATCCTATAGAATTTAATGATCTGTGGAGAGAAAATACAACCGTAAGTCCATCTTTTCAAGCTATAGTATGTAATGATCTGTTGAGAGAACATGCAATGTAAGTCTCTCTATTTATACTATATTAAAGATGTGTTGAGAAAACACGAAATGTAAGTTTCTCTATTCATGTTGTAGTATTGAAAGATCTGTAAAGAGAACATTCACATTCAATGTAAGTCCACTATTCATGCCATTGTATTTCAAGGTCTATTTAGAGAACATGCTAAGTAAATCTCTCTATCAATGCTATAGTATTTGATGATCTGTTGAAAGAATATGCAATGTGAGTCCCCCTATTCTTGTTATATTATTAGTATTTAAAGATCTGTTGAGAGAGCATGCTATATAAGACCATCTATTCATTCTGTAGTATTAAAAGATCTATTGAGAGAACCTGCAATGTAAATCCCTCTTTTCATGCTATAGTTTTTAAAGATCTGTCGAGAGAACATGTAATGTAAGTTCTTTTATTTTTGTGATAGTATTGGTATTTAAAGATTTGTTGAGGGAAAACGCAATGAAAATCCCTCTATTTATGCTATCGAATTAAAAATATTTGTTGAGAGAATCTTCAAATATCAGAAAGGTAGAAGTGCTGCCTAATCCAAAATCTTCTGGATGCATGTTGCTTCTTTGTTCGTTATTTCTCCTGGTTTGTACGTCTGTTTGACACAAACAGAATTATCCATGAACTGTGGGAATGCTGCTACATAAATATGTAAACTCACATTTTAAAAATATCCTTTGTCATAAAGTTCATGTTTTAATTGTTTAATTGTTTAATTGTTTTTTATTGACCATCACTGTAAGAATCTTGATGGAAGTTCCATTATGTTGAGCAGCCTTTACTGTATCTCCAGTATCCTTTATTTCACGTTCATTAAAAAGGACACGATCTACATAGTCACCAAACTTTGAATTTATTCAGTGAATGGACAGGCATCATCAATTTAGAAGAACTTGAAGTTAAAGGGCAATGCTAGCTTAACGGAACTTGCAGTCAAAGGACAAAGGTAGCTTCAATTCGTTTTTTTTTTGATAAGCGCTGTATTTATTTCTCATGTGACATTTGAATGCGGACTGTCAGAGAACGTTTTGTTTATATCAGAATTTTCATGTACCTTCCGTTTATTTATTAAAGTTGTACCGATTGTCTCAACATCTCTTCGTGTTTAGAATGATGAATACCGACGTGAAGGTAGAGAAGCCTTAATTTAAGTACTACAAAATGAATAGAAGGACTTCATACATTTTCTATCAACAGATCTTTACATGCTACAGCATGAATAGGGGACTCACATTGCATGTTCTCTCGAAAGATTTTTAAATACAACAGCATGAAATGACTTCATACATTGCATTTTCTCTCAACAGATCTTTACATATTACAGCACGAATAGTGGACTCACATTGCATGTTCTCTCAAAAGATCTTTAAATACTACATCATGAAATGACTTCATACATTGCATGTTCTATCAACAGATCTTTATATACTACAACATGAATAGTAGACTTACATTGCAGGTTCTCTCGACAGATCCTTAAATACCACAGCAAGAAATGACTTCATACATTGCATGTTCTATCAACAGATCTTTTACATGCTACAGCACGAACAGTGGACTCACATTGCATGTTCTCTCGAAAGATCTTTAAATACTACAGCATGAAATGACTTCATACATTGCATGTTCTATCAACATATCTTTACATACTACAGCATTCATTGTCTCTCGACAGATCGTTAAATACTATAGCATGGAGAAGAGAGGTGAAAGCTACCAAAGGAAAATAAAATGATAACGCCATGGCTGAAAAAGAAACAGACATACAAACAAACAACAGTACACCAAACACAGCATAGAAAACTAAAGACTGAGCAAAAAAAACTGGGGGTGATCTCAGGTGCTCCGGAAGGGCAAGCAGATCTTGCGCCACATGCGGCACCCGTCGTGTTGTTCATGTAAGTACAAAGTCTAATTCGGTAGGTCACATTCGGGGAAAAGGGGACGGGATTGTAGTTACGACAATTGGAACATATCCGTCGTCATCTGTAAAACGGATATTCCATAACGGTCAACCAACTCGTGATGGCGTCCGTAAAATTTACGAAGGGATGATTTCAACATCACTACTTGGAACTCTTGGTTTAGAAGCTTCCTTGTGAGCTGCAACACTCTATCAAGGAAATCATGAAAGGAAATACAAGCCCTGGAATATCGTATCAACTAGGAGATATATACTCCATATGCAGGCGTTGCTGGAATATTGCTACATAGAAATGGAAAGTTCACAATTTGGAAGCTGAAATCATCTTTTTTGTCATAAAGTTTTGTTTTCAACCGACCCTCATTGTCGATTTCTAGATGTAAGTCAAGACATGAGGCAGACTTAACTGTATCTGTTGTATCCTTTATCTCAAGTTCGATGGGATAGATGCGTTTAACATAGCCACCAAATTTTGAATTTTTTAGTGAGAGAACATTTTCTATATAGCTGAAAGTGAAGTTAAAGGATACTGCTAACTTCTTGTCTTTCTTCCTAAGAAGTTCCTGTATGAAGTCAGTCTCATATGAATAAAGGAACATGAATAGAGGGACTTAAATCTTTCAAAACCATTAACCAGAAGTGTGCAATCTCTCGTTTTTTATATAGATTAGACCGTTGGTTTTCCCGTTTGAATGGTTTTACACTAGTAATTTTTAGGGGCCCTTTATAGCTTACTGTTCGGTGTGAGCCAAGGCTCCGTGTTGAAGACCGTACTGTGACCTATAATGGTTTACTTTTATAAATTTTGACTTGGATGGAGAGTTGTCTCATTGGCACTCATACCACATCTTCTTATATCTAATCATACTATTTCTGATTAGGTATTTTATGTTAAGAACGATTAACAAACCTGCGTCTAAAAACACCCAGCCACCACCATGGAAATATACAACAGCGGGTATCATTTTTTCTTCAGATGTTGTTGGATAGTATAAACGAACTTTAACTCCATCAAATACATTATCTACTATCTATTACAAATAAAAATAAATATATCTTTCATTACGCATATAATACTGAATGCTACAGTTCGCAAAATGTTTCGAGTAATTACCACGTCTTTTTAATAAAATTTGGAGGTTTTTGCAAATATGTACATAGAGTTAAATTAAAAAGTCTGAATACATCTAGTTTTGGCCTTTCACAGCGACCCCCAAAACGTTTTAGAATTCATATTTGTGTAGTTTTTCCTTTCTTGAAGAAGATTGTAAAATAACTGAACAATGCTTGAATCGACTTTTATTGTGCAGATATTTATTGCCCGTTTATTGTCCAAATCAATCAAAAATTGTTACCGGAGGGGAACACTGCATAAAGATTTTACCAAACTATTCAATACCAATATAAAAATAAGGAGATGTGGTATGATTGCCAATGAGACAACTATCTACCAAAGTTCAAATGAAGTGGATGTAAGCGATTATAGGCAGCCGTACGGCCTCCATCAATGAGAAAACCCATACCGTATAGTCGGCTATAAAAGGCCCCATATAAAAAAAAATATGAGAAAATTAACGGCCTAATGTATAACAAAATAATTTACGAAAAACAAAACAAAGTACAGAACTGAGAGTACTCGCAGTTACTGACAGCTAGTTCAAAGCCAATAACAACTAATAAAAAAACATTCACCTAATACTAAAATATCAATCAGTACACATCCAACACTCAATGGATTTAGTGTAAAGACGTCATTAACAGTCAGACAAAAACATGACAATGTGCAATGCCAAAATAAAGGTACCGACAGATTGAAGTACCGTGAAAGTGTATAAAAATTATGTGTATATCAATAATATTTTAGTTTTGTTTTAATTTACTGATAACAAAATCAATATTTACACCAATAAAAACAATAATCAAAGATATAATTACCCAGTTGAATTGGTAACCTTTTAGAATAAGTTTATTTAAATGATTGATAGATTTACCCGGATCATATCTAAATTTCCGGGCTCGGTAAACAACATCACCGTAAAATTTAGGCCTTACGGTTGCCTATAATGCTAACTTCCACTTTATTTGAACTTTGGTGGATAGTTGTCTCATTAGCAATCATACCACATCTCCTTATTTTTATATTCCGCTTGAAAGAGCTTTTCTACATGCATAGCCAAACTTGCAAACCAAATCTTTTTATCTATGGAAGAATTTAGTAAACTTTTTAAGGTTTTTAGTAACGAAATCCCTGACTTAATAATTTACCAGTAATACATAGATTACGCTTTTGAATTCCAAAACGTCACTACAGACACGGGCATAGCGGTGGAGTTGTGATTCCAAAAAAGGAAAATTAACAATAAGGAAAATAAAATCATCCCTTTTGTCGTAAATTTTTGTGTAGAGTTATTGCTGTTAATATTTGATTTATTTAAATTAAGTTCCTTTGGGTAAATTTCGGCAGTATATTTAGAGAATTCTTGATTATTCAACGAAAAAATATCATCAAGATAACGGTAAGTGTTGTTGAATTTATCAAGTAAATGGAATTTAGACGGGTCTTTACTGAGTTTGGCCATAAACTGTGATTCATAATAGTACAGGAATAAGTCTGCTATTGAAGGGGCACAATTGGTGCCCATAGGAATACCTACAATCTGTCGAAAACTTTATTGCCGAAACGTGCATCAATGTTATCAGGAGAAAATTAACGGCTTCAATCGTATCATCAAACCTCCAGTAAGTATATCTAGCACATTAATCTTTCTCATTTGAGAAAAGGGCTTTATATCACTTGCAGTATATTTATCAAACGACCATTTATTAAAATAGAGAAACTTTTGTCTGATAAGATTGTGTGGAAGTGTAGTATAAAGAGTGGAAAAGTCAAAACTATCAACAGAATCTAAAAGACCATCAAAAGCACATAATTTATCTTAAACATCCAAAGAATTTTTTACACTCCAAAAATGGTTAATTCCACTGTTTTCATGTTTTATTACAAAAATTATTGATAAGTTCTTTGATAGTACTGTAGTTAAGGAACTAGTTAAAAGCACGGAGAGATTGGTAATATAACATTTCCTAGAGGCCGAGATGAAACGATAGTTTACTTGTTTTTTTGTGTAGTTTAGGTAACCAATACATAGTGGGGACCTTCAAATGTTCAGAGGAGGCATTAAGCTGAGCTGTGGTAGATACACGATTATTTAGAAACGAAACAAATGCGCTTCAAAATACAGGAAAGTATTTAATTTTCAAATGCATAAAAATATCTACGTCCTGCCAGGCTTTTTAACGTTCCTCGTTGCATAGGTATGCCTGTTCTCCGAGTAAAAGAGAGGCGAAAGATACAAAAGAAACATTCGAACGCATTAGTCGAAAATAAACTGACAACGCCATGGCAAAAAAAGAAAAAGACCAAAAGACAACAACAGTACACAAAACACAACATAGAAAACTAAACACTGAGGAACACGAACCCCACTAAAAACTGTGGGTGATCTCTAAATGGCTCAACTGTAATATACGGTAGAAGTAGTTCCTAACCCAATTACATATTCATACATCTGCAATGATATGAATGTTGTATCAAATATTATATCGATTCCTGAAACGTAGTTACTATGATTATGCAATTGTAACGTCATAAAATAGGCTGATGTGTCTGTTAACGTCTCACAGAAAGAATGCATTATTTTGGCAAATCTGGAATTGTTTGCATAAATGTCGAGTGGAATCGTCAGAATAACAGTGATTACCTCTGTATCTTGTGCAGTACGATAGTTTTCACTCTCAACAGGTTAATTCTGAATGTTTGATTTGTCTCGACAATAGAAATATCATATACAAGTCGATGTAGTGGTATAATCTATACGTAAGGTTGGCAATACATGGCCGTTTTTACACAACAACATTTACTCAGCTACCGAGGTAGACTTATCACCGGGTGTGTACATACAAGCACCTGAAATCACCCCCAGTTCCAAATGGAAGAATATTCTGTTGTAATATTTCCTCTGGAACAAATATTACAGTATTTGTTCCGGACGGAATAAAGATTATAGAATATGTGTTCCAACAGGAACAGATATTTTGGCATTGTTTATAACATTGTTCCCAGTGGAATTTAAGCGGAGTAAATATACGTTTACATGTGAACAGACCAATTTGATGATGAATAATGTATTGACTTAATTGATTGACTTATTGTTGTTTTGAGAATAATACATGCATATTCTTCCCTTAGTTTATTTATTTTGTATTTACATTGTATCATAGATCAAATTTATCTGTCCTGTGTATGTTCACTGATGTTAATAGGTCTTTTGATTGAGTTAAGCCATTTCTATTTATATTTTATAGTGTGTCTTTCTATGTTGTGATGTTACACTATTGTTTCAGATAAGGGTGAAGGTTTGGTACCATTAAAACGTTTAAAACCCGATGCAATTGTTTGCACCTGTCCTAAGTCAGGAATCTGATGTTCAGTAGTTGTCGTTTGTTGATGTGGTTCATGAGTGTTTCTCGTTTCTCGTTTTTTATATAGATTAGACCGTTGGTTTTCCCGTTTGAATGGTTTTACACTAGTAATTTTTGGGGCCCTTTATAGCTTGCTGTTCGGTGTGAGCCAAGGCTCCGTGTTGAAGACCGTACTTTGACCTATAATGGTTTACTTTTATAAATTTTGACTTGGATGGAGAGTTGTCTCATTGGCACTCATACCACATCTTCTTATATCTATTGGGTTGCTGTCAGGTTGACGTTCACCCCACATCTCATATTATTGATATGCGAAATAAAAAAAAAACAACATTGTATTTTTTTAAAATATTTGTTTGTTTTTAAATAACCCACCTTGATATCATTAATTGGCTTTGAAATTAACCAGTCTACTAATGGATAAAATCCTAAACCGCTCCGTGTTACATTAATTTTGGAAAATCCAAATATACCAGCAATCCTTGCCTGAAATAGATTATTCTTTAAGATGTAGCTAAAGCTGTTTGGAATTTGATTCCAGCTTAATCGATTGATACATGGATATCTGAACTAAATGTTTTTTAAGTACTTTTATTTATGAATTATATTGTTGTAAAACAATGAATCTGTACTGGTACGTTGTGATAAGTTACATTTACCCACTTTTATCGTGTTTATGGGACCTAACTTATCATGTTCAAAAACACAAAAGTGGGTGGGGGAGTTTTAAATATTTTTTTCAAGTTAGCGTTGGTAGAAAAAAACTCGTCAAAGATACAAAGCTGATTATTTGGTACTGGCCTATCATCTTTCAATCTATCATGTGGCATTGTCTAGCTGTCTTCTACCTACAGAATGGCCAATGGCTTACTTATAATAAGGTCTTTTTTTGTCATATAGTTCCTTATGTTGTAGCTTATTATTGGATCCCTTCCTTACAGATTTTGGATTTGAACTTCTCTGGTGCAGGTGAATCCAGAAAGTGCTTCGGACTCACGACCTTTATATAGTGTTTATTTCATTAACCATCTCTGGTTCAATACAGCTGATGGTGGACCCCGAGAGTATCATCAGCTCCGTAATCACTGCTTCGGTATTGACATGATTTATAACTTATTCTTATTAAAAAGTCTCCGTTCACAAATCAAGAAATTCTTATGAAACAAAGGTTCTATCTTCCTTCGTTGATTTATTTTGTTTAGGTCCTTTTGGTCTCATAGCTCCTAACATTAACGTTGCAGTATTCACGTACCTCTGGCTTTCAAATGTTTAGGTTGAGCGTTCCTGATGAAAATGAATCCAGAAAAGAGTTATATACAAATTTTATGTAGGTGGCGTTGTTTAGCTGTTTGTCACGTACACAGTGTTGGTGCCTAACTAGCTTTCAATCGTACAGTTGGCGTAGTTTAGCCGTTTGTCACTTTCAGAATAGGTGGTGTCTTACTAACTTTAAACCTATCACGTGGTATTGTCTAAACGTTTGGCACTTCCAAATTGGTTGTTGTATTGATATCATTCTACCACGTGGCATTTTCCAGCTGTTTGCCATTTACATGATGGTTGTAGTCTTACTTATTTCAATCAATCATGTGACATTATCATTCTAAACATCCGTCACAGCTGTTATTAAAACCTTTTGGCATTTTGGGTCCTCATTGCCATTCAACTTTGTACTTGATTTGGCATTTTAACTTTTTTTATTCGAGCGTCACTGATTAGTGTTTCGTAGACGAAACGCGCATCTGGCGTACACCATTTTAAGGCTGGTATCTTTTAAAAAAAAAAATTCTAGAATCGTTGGTGACTTAATAAATTTCAAACAATCATTAGGCAGTGTGTAGCCGTTTGTCACTTATAGAATGGAAGGTGACTTACTAACTTTCAATCTATTACGTGACATTGTCTTGCCGCCTGTCACGTATACAGTGCAGTTGCTTACTTCTATAATTTGAAATATTCAAGATAATCTAAGAAAAAAATCACTGAAAAACGAGAACTTGAATGACGCCATAAATCCACATCATTTACGTTACATAGGAATAACTATATTTAGGTCCACGATAGCTTTACCAAATCTTATATTAACCTCTCATGATTTTTCCCGCGGTGAATATAATGTTTTACACAAGAAAATTCCGTATGCTTTAAGCCAATGAGAAATTAGAAAATTTATAGTCATATAATAAATCAATATATCAAGTGGCATTGTCTAACTGTCTGTCCCTTATAGAAAGGTTGGTGCTTTTATTTCAATATATCATGTGGCATTGTCTAACTTATAGAATGGTTGGTGCATTTATATCAATATATCATGTGACATTGTCTAACCGTCTGTCACTTTTAGAATGGTTGGTGCTTTTATATCAATATAATTATCATATGACATTGTCTCACCGTCTGTCACTTATCTATAGAATGGTTTGTGTCTTATTGCCTATCAAGGAATCACGTGGTATTATCTTGCAGAATGGTTGATGCCCGGATATAATTCTATCATATGACATTGTCAGCCACCGTCTGTCCCTTACATAATGGCTTGTGACCTATAATATTTAATTTTATCAGTTGGCATTGTCTACCCGTCTGCCACTTACAAAATGGCTAGTGTCTTACTATAGTTATTGTCTAGCTGACTGTCCCTACAGATCTTCCAAATTTGTATTTAATTTGGCCTTCCAACTGTTTTGATACGAGCACTATGATGAGTCTTTTGTATACGAAACACGCGTCTGGCGTACAAAATTAAAAGCCTGGTGATTTTTTACATGGTTGGTACCTTACTTTCATGTAATATTCTGAAAATTAAAATGTATTATTTAAGAGAATTCTGTATTTGTATCTCCCAGTTCTGTTTTTGCCATGGTGTTGTTGATTAGTTTCAGTCTTCGACTTGTGGGTTTTGAATATCCCCTTGGTATCTTTTTTCTCTTTTTCCAAAGTCTTTTAAATGCGCACATCAACATTAAACTATAACAGAGTTCTCATTACGAATTAATCCTTATTTGCTATACTATTCTAGCTGGCTCCGGTGTCCTTTCCCGTGCTGTACCTCGAGGTCACCTGGCTGTTTTAAGAGCATACGTGATTGTGTTATTATAGACCTTCCTTCTTTTACAAAACTCTACTATGGAATTTTTTTTTTTTATTCGGAAAGCTGAACTATATCTTACCACATCATTTATGATTTTAAATGTAGAATATGTAAATCGTTGTTTCCATGGTTCCGCTGCATTTTCCGGGAGTGGTATGTATAAATAGTAAGCAATGCAAACTATTATAACTGTACATGTCAACCAAGATGGCATTGTTCTGTCAAATAAAACAAAAATTAAACAAAAACATATCCTAATAAAAACATTTTATCTGTACGAGGTATTGAGCCTTGAGTATTAAAAATCTTCAAAAATAATTTCCTTAACACGAACAATCAATGTTTAAAACATGTTTACGACATATTTATGAAGCGGTCAATTGCTATTTCATTGTACGATTACATATAACTATGTTCATTAGAAATTATGCTAAGTAGTTTGTTCGTTTCATATAATCGTGTATATAATTGTAATGTTTTGGTGGATACATGAGGTCATTTAACACATTACACATTTAACACATTACGACGGTTGTTAATCTGGTTTGCTTGTTTTCCTGTTTGTATTAATATGTGAACATTATACACCTATTAACTGTTTATGAGATGAGGGTAACTAGCAAGTTTGTTGTCCCTGAGATACCAACTATTGCTCGAGGCGAAGCCGAGGTCAATAGTTAGAATCGTTTTCATAACAGCGTAGACAACCGTAAAACTTTTGTTGGTAATAATACTGAATCATTTACCTCTAACTTGTTTGCCATCGGCTATCGATAACAATGATTTTATGCTCACTCAGTCTATCAGAGGCCTTCCAGTGGGGATTTAAATAATGATCACTTGTTGCACATTTCGATACATAAAATGAAACTTTCATTCACAAAACTTTAAAGATTGTTTTAAATATTTTTATACCATCACATACAACAGTTTCATTTCAAAGAATAATAATGTTCAGAGCTGATATCATTAGATAATCCAAAAATACGTTTATTCATTGAAAACACTTAAAAATTAAGTTGATGGGGTTAATTCGCAAAATATCTTATTGATTACGAGAATAAGTACTTCTACGTTGTAATCATTTTAAAAGAGTGGCCTACTATCTATTCAATGCATACATGTAGGTTTTGTTTGTGAAGAGTTCCGGATAATTAAAAAATCATTTTATTTTTTTGTTTAATACCTTGATTTTTTTTACATAAATCGTTACATTCATTCAGATGTTTATCAGTTTGCCTTGGCTATTCAAGTCCTACACAACGTCTCACGAATTTGGTCTTTTTCTTACAAAACGTATATTCTTGTGATGTATTCTTTTGTTGAAGAAAGAATGTTTCCCCTTTTTTTATTTTTGTCGTTTTTTTTTTGTCTCATTGACGTATTAGACAACCGGACTACCCCTTTCTTCATATTTAAAAACAGAAGAAAGATAATGAACATCGCTTTTATGGTCTACTTAATATCGAAGTCAGAATGTGGTATTTTTAAAGATGTTGTTAATTAATCAAAAACAACAAAAAACAAAATAATTTGAATGTTTATATTGGAAAAAGTAACGTTTTGTAAATCATTACAATTATTTCATTTCAAATGAATATCAAGGCTGTTGCATTTTTCCGCTGCGAGCAAATTTTTACTTTTGACCGCATTTTTAAAATTAATTTTCTTGTTGTAATCCTGTTGGACGCTGCGCTGTGTAGTTTATTTTTCTTGTATTGTTTAATGCCAAATATAGTCAAGACAGACAAAAAAAGTTGGAAGGTTACATGTTAAAATAGAGAATGGAAATGGGGAATGTGTCAAAGAGACAATAACCCGACCAAAGAGTAAACAAAACAGCCGAAGACTACCAATTGGTCTTCAACACAGCGAGAAAATCCCGCACCCGAAGGCGCACTTCAGCTAGCCCCTTAACAAAAATGTGTACTAGTTCAGTGAAAATGGTCGTCATACTGAACTCCTAAACAAATAGATGAACTAAAATTAAAAAAACATACAACCTGAAGACTAACAAAGGCTTCTGACTTGGGACAGGAGAAAAAATGCGGCGGGGTTAAACATGTTTAGTGAGATCTCAACCCTCCCCCTATACCTCTAGCCAGTGTAGATTAAACAAACACACAGCAATACACCGCTACATATTGTACCAAAGTCGGGCTGGGGAGGGTGCATGTTATACTGATTTAACCCACTGGATTGTGTGCCTGCACCAAGTCTGGCCAGGGAGGGATTGCATGTTAAACTGCATGGATTAGCCCCACTAAATTTTGAGCCAAACGTCCGGCTATCCGGGTTTTGTGTTGTTCATTGTTTATTTAAACGTCTATTTTTACTATTTATGGACAGAACTCGATGGTCTTTGTTGTTGTGGTCTCTTTTAATTTTCCTACCTTTCATCTTTTTATGTATTATTGTCGTATAACAGATCTAAAGCCGTTTAATTACGAAACTATCTGCAATATATTTAATAGTCCTAAACATACATGACAAATTTGACACTAGACGTAACGCAAACAAAAATCAATACACCAATGTATCTAAAGTCACAATTGATACAACTTTATATAAAAATAAGGAGATGTGGTATGATTGCTAATAAGACAACTATCCACCAAAGTTCAAATGAAGTGGATGTAAGCAAGTATAGGCAACCGTACGGCCTTCAACAATGAGAAAAAACCCATACCGTATAGTCGGCTACAACAGTCCCCGACATGAAAAATATGAAACAATTCAATTGAGAAAACCAACGGCCTAATCTACAACAAAAGAATTAACGAAAAACAAATTTCTGCTCTTTGGTCGGGTTGTTGTCTCTTTGACACATTCCCCGTTTCAATTCTCAATTTTATGATAGATATAACTGCATATAAAAATAAGAATATGTGGTGTGATAGACAATCAGACTAATCCCTTCCAGTGACCAACAGACGTAAGCAATATAGGTCACCGTACGACCTTCAACAATAAGCAAAACACATACTGTATAGCATGAAAGCTTCAAATGGCCTTGTCATAACAAACACGAAAGTTGAGTGGATGCAGAACAGAGCGAGAGAAAAAACACGGATACCGCATGGAAACTGGCAAATGGTCCGCAATATTACCAAGTCTTGGTTTTAAATTATTTGCAAGTAAGCTTAAGGTGTCAATAACAAATAATCACTCACAGAAAGACGGGCAAATCCCGCATTAAAAAAAGAAAAAAAGAATATACGAACTACAGTGCGCAGTATATTATATACATATTTTATTTGCGATCATAAAATGTACGAAGTCGTCCATTACTATATAAATTGGGTCGATTAAAAAAAAAACTGAATACGTTTCTGTTGCCAAGAGTTTTCACAAGTATAGTAGTTAGCAGAAAAGTTCCCCAAACTATACATTTTACCTATCCAATAACGGGTAAATGCAAATTTCACAAGGCTTGATCCAAATAGCTTTTTTACTGTCTAATAACTTGCAAGTACGAAAAAGACAGGACAGAAGTATATTTTGTCTATATGTTTTGTATTTGCACACTTTTTAAAGTTGATCATGCATTCGTTCTAAAATAAAATTTTGACCAGATAAAAGTTAAAAGATGACATAATTGGACAACCGCAATTGTTAAATCGCTTTGACGTCCGAAAAAAGATAATAATCAACACATACATTGTAACTTTTAAAGCCAGTTAAATCCTTTTTTTTTTTGCTGAAAGAACGTGCGATATCATAAAAATTGATTATCAAAACATAACAAAAACACAAGTAAAGAACTTTTAAGTATTCAATATAAATCAAAACACAAAGTCTTTCGAATTATTTTTATTTAGTCGTTGAGACCCTTTGGTGACCCCACAGTTTAAATGTCTATAATAAGTACGTCGTGAGCAGTGTGCGTTACAGACGAACGTTCACCTAATCTGGCCCAGTCAATGGGATATTTTAGCGCGCCAATCAATGGTCTCGTCTACACTGTTTTGCACATGATTCTAGTATCAAAGGGACAACAAACTTGCTATTACAATCATAACCAGTCATTAAATGTTTTATTATACCGAGCAAAACAACTTTCTAAAAAGTCTATATACACCACATGGAGAAAAAAATAGTCACATAAACATGCACCAGATGAACCATCGGGTTTTTTTTTGCCCGTGTGGTATTTGTGAATATTTTATTCACGGTAATCAAGACCAGGAATCCTTGTGTAAAATTTCCCGTGCATATAATAATCGCTAGCTAAAATATATTACCGTACACCAAAGCAATCACAGATTGTGAAGACGACGACAGACCCATACCATACTTTGTTATGTTTTAGTTCTTCAAATGTGTAGCGTAGATTTCTTTTTCTTTTTTAATTGCTTCTTTTGTAAGTAATATAATAATTTGAAATTACGACGACCGACACATACAGATTATACCGTTTGTGATATTTTAGAGCTTTTAACGTTGCAAAGCGCACAAATCCAAGCAGAATAGTCGATGACGTCATTGTTGTTCAATGAAAAATTAGTATGAAAAAGTACAAGAAATATGTTGATCAAACTATTGACCGGGGTAATAGTCTTTGAAACTATTGACTGGCAAATAGTCTGTGGAATGAAATAGCACAAATATTTCATTCTTTTTTATAAAGAAAAAACATACTGTCAGAGGTATAATAAAATCCGTTATGCCGTTTCGTGTATAAGTTAAAGTGTATGCATTATCAATTTCAACACACTGCAAAAGAAAAAGGTACACTGAAATTTTTTGTTATAAAACGTACTTACCAAAACGATATTAGCTTTTTCCAATACTTTACTTGAAGCATACATGTGCTGCGACATACTTGTGTACGTTACGAGTTCAATAGTTCAATGAACTGCATTAAGTAATGATCAAAATGCAATCGGAACTACTCGGCCTTTCTGGTTGCACGAAGAAATAACTTATTGTACTGCATAGCGAGAATGGCCGAGTAGTAACGATTGGATCAAAATGGATTTTAGCAAAATTAACCCCAAAAAGATGATATTCCGGTCAAGGTTAGAAACGAATTGTTTATGTGCAACTGCCAAGTCGCATCCAGAGCAGCGAAATTACAGGTATCAATGACATGATCTTTATACATATATACAATGTATACATGTAGATGCATTAAATACATAGTATAGTGCTTTGATATAAACAAACTAACCTTGTTATTGACAAAAAACAATATGAATGTTCCTATATCATGAGGTATATATGGCAAGCAAAAGTGGACAAAAAGAGCTATTTTCTAATATTAAAAAATGATTTTCTAATATTAAAAAAGGGATTTTCTAATATTAAAAAAGGATTTTCTAATATTAGAAAAGGATTTTCTAATATAAGAAAAGGATTTTCTAATATTAGAAATTGATTTTCTAATATTAGAAATTGATTTTCTAATATTAAAAATTCATTTCTTAATATAAGAAATTCATTTTCTAATATTAGAAATTCATTTTTTAATATTAAGAAATCGTGTTTTTCTTTTTTAATTTTCTAATATTAAAAAATGATTTTCTTATATTAGAAAATGATTTTCTTATATTAGAAAATGATTTTTTAATATTAGAAAATGATTTTCTAATATAAGAAAACGATTTTTTAATATTAGAAAATAGATCTTTTTGTCCACTTTGGCTTGCCATAGGTATAACGTTATACGGTACGATAAGATGAATGCAATGTATATTCTGTTTACAGGAAAAAACTAGGACATATCTAAATTAAGACATTTTGTTATCTGCCCCTGTCATGGCGGCACCCACGAAATTTATTAGCTAAAGAAAAAAAGTAGTATGTCCACTAGGAAAAAGTAATTTGTCGGGAAAAAACAATGTAAACAGTAAACAACTTAAAAATTACTTCTACTTTAATTCAGAATGTTGAGTAAATAACAATAATTATATGATTACATAATCAACGTGATTTGTGAGAATAGTGATTGTTTACATCGGGACTTGTCAGGTACGTACTCGATAATATGGCGACTTTAGAAGCTATTGTCGATCTTAAGTCTGTTGTCATGGGTATTGATTCAAAGGTAACACTCTTTACATCAAGGCTAGACTCTGTTGAACAAAATTTAACGCATCTAATTACCGAGGTCAGGTCAGAAGTTGTGCAAGTAAAGTCAGATCTTAGTACTACACAAACTGAGGTGGAAAAGCTTAGACTAGATCACAATGAGCTAGAGAGAGGTATAGGGTACATAGAGTCACAACTCAATACTCTAGAAATGGAAAAAATGGAATGTCTGAAAAAAAACATTGACGACAAACTTTTCGCATTGAACAGTCAGGGGTACTACTTAAACAAGTGATTTCAGAATCACTTCTTCAAGTGATTTAGGCTGTGAAATATTAAAAATTTTCACAAAAATGGACACAGACTTTTTAAAATCACTGAAACAAGTAATTTGAGAAGTTGAAATGTAATCACTTCAACACGTGTTTATAACATTTTCTTGATATTTTTCCCGCAAGCTTGCCTTTTTTATTGGTAAAAAGACAAGAATTCCATTGAAAAAACAACTATGTACATGCAGAAATTGTCTTTTGCTTGATTAGCCTGTCAGTTTTACAGTTTATCTAAAATATGCAAAAACTGGAATAATTTGTAGATCAGGACATAACCTTGAAGTAGATCATTATAACTCTTAAGAAAACCAATCAGGTTACCTAATATTGTTGACCTTTGTCTGATAGTAAGAGTAGTTAATGAATATTTGATTATAGAAAAAATCCCAAGGGTACTTTTAAAAGCTTTAGCGCACTAACTTACTGTCCAAGCGCACTGGTGAAATTGATATACAAAAGAAAGGGATAATTAGTTCTATGTAGGAAAATTATAGAAAAGTTTGTCAAAATATGGAAAATCAACGAAATTAGCATTTGAAGATCAAAGGAAACACCAAAATCACTTAAATAGGTGATAACTGAATTTATCAAATCACTGAAATAGGTGATAATGAAATCACTTGTTTAAGTAGTACCCCTGACTGTTGAAAGAAAATCAACTTTTTCTAGAGAAACATGAGCGTAAATACAATATTCTTATTTACGGTATAAAACAAAAACAAGATGAGAACATATGGGAAGTAGTAGACAATTTCTTTGTGAAGGAGCTGGGGATAGAAAAGTTTAAAGCAGAAAGTTTCCCCCTTGCAAATGCCCACAGGATCCCATCAAGAGCCCCAGTTGTTGGCCAAAAAAGACCAGATGCTATAATTGTGAGGTTTATGCACTACTCAGACAAACAATTAATAATAGAAAATGCATACAAAGTTGCAAATAAAAAAATCAGAGTAGTAGACGATTTACCCGTTATAATGAAAGAGGCACGAAATGATCTGGCAAAAGTTGCATATAAAATAAGAAATGACGAGAAATTACAAACCAGAATAAAAGTAAGAGGCATAATCCTGGTTCTAGAAACACGACTTAACTCAAAGGATGTGTGGAATACGCGCAAAACAATTAATTGTGTCAGATGATACTAGTACATGTATGACTGTGACTACAGAAATTGTAAATACAGGCTGATGCGATCTTGTGCTTTTCTTTGTTGTTTCTATGACTGAAAAACTTATCATACAACTTTAACATATTAAAATGTTCAATCTTTTGTAGGACTTGCTTGTCAGTAAGTATATTGCTGTGTTAAATTTGTTTTTGCTTGTGTGTTTTTTCCATTATGCTTTTGTTGAATTCGCAATCATATAGTATATACATAGGCTGCATGTTAGTTCATAGTCTTGTTATTTAAGCTTTACTTTTTTCTTTAGTTTTGGCCCAAAAAATATGTGTATTTTTTATCATCATTCTTTGGTACATACAGGAAGAACCTAATATTATAAAAAGAAAATGTTTTATTTAAGGAATCGTTTATAAAAACAGATTTTTTAATCTGTAAATGAAAAGGAAAAATTAAAAAAATGATGTAAAAATTATCTACCAGTAAACAAATAAACTCCATTCTTAATATTTTAACATTCTAATAAAGTGCTTTCATATGATCAATCCTGTGAGATTTGTATTAATGGGACAACAACCCAACAACACCCCGTAAGTCAAAGGAACATATAGTGTTAAACATGTGGTGTTGGGCTCTCAAAGGTTTATATTCTTTGTACTAAATTGTTGATATTTCAAACTTTAAATCACAAACTATAATGAATACGTTATAGATATTTCATATCTTTTGAATAGTTTTGTGGTGTTTCGTAAATTATACCATAGCTTTTGTTGAAACCCCCGGCAATAACCTCACGAGACGAAGTCGAGTGAGGTTGCCGAGGGGTTTCAACAAAAAACTATGGTATAATTTACGAAACACCACAAAACTAACCAAAATATATGAAATATCTGTTTTAACCTATTGCATATGTTGTTGTTTAAAAATGTATATTTCATATATTTTTGTTTATTAACTTCAAAAATAATTTTGATAAGAATCGGTCAAATTACCCTTTTAGGACCTTACACATTAAGCTCCGCCTACTTTATAAAATACGCACGGGCTTCTGAAACAGCGCGGAAATCAGTTGGACAAGATTTTTCGACAGCGATGGATGCACATCTACATTGGTGACGGGTAACGTTACAGACTAAAAACTGTTGAAGGAATTATATGTTCTGTATGTATATGGACGCAAGATATAGTTTGAAAGATTTCTGGAACCCAGATTTAAAGTTGAACTGCAAAGGGTTAGTTTTTTATTTTATTTTATCAAAATATTTGAAATGTTTTTAAGTTTTTGGTATTAATTTATAATTCTGTGGAAATTTAATTCACAAGATTCTTTCTGAGAGTTTGGATGAATCATTCCATGTTTTAATTTGTACCAGAAGCCCAAGTTGTTCATTTAATTTAATCTAATTAAAAAGGATTTCAAAATGATCACGATTAAAGATCATTAAAATCACATGTAGACTATAGATAATTTAAACAAAAGTTCACCTTTATTTAGAGTAACCAGACGCTTTCTATTCTTAACGGCCCAACATTATAGTTATTACTTAAGCAAATCGTTAAATTAAGATGTATATAAAATCGGATACGGATCCTGGATTTTGAAAAGGAGGGGGGGTCTAGCCATCCAATATTTGGAGTAATAAAACGAAATATCTATGCATTTACCATATATAAAGCTTCTTGAAAGGGGCATGCCTTCCCCCTTCCTCCCCCTTAAAAAGCCGCCACGGCAAATTTCAACCTTTACATGTAGCTATACAGTTGATCCTAAGGGACTACAATCCAAGTATACATCTCAATAACCGAAAATCGAATTATATTTTCAAGTATAATATAATAATATATTTATATATACTTTTTTTTTTAAACTTTGTTCTTGAATCGAATTTTCGTTCATTTAAAAATATAGGACAACGGAGTTGGTGTATGTGGGTTCGATTCCCACCCTAGGCATTCATTTATATCGGCTGGTGCAAAGCGGGCGGTTTAGCTTAGTGGCCCCTACACTGACTCTGTTGTTCCTATTTAAAAAAAATCAGGCGGCCTCGAATAGGCCTTGCTATCTTCCTTTTTTTCTTTTCGAATACCAAATACAACAAAACCATGGTATAATTGTGAAAATTATACCATAGATAGCTATGGTATAATTTTCGGTTATTGAGATTTATACTCTTGTTGCATTCCCATAGGTTACATTGTACAGCTATAGGTTAACTTTCTTTACCTAGTATGTTTTACATCAGCATCTGCATTTTTTTATCAAAATGAAGATTACATAGTACTTGAAACCCTGTATGTACCAACCATGTTTCTCCATCTAAATACTAAAATATACTGTTAGAATTATTAGTTTTAACATGATTTTTGAAACGCTATTCATTGCTCTAACATAATTTAATGCTTCTTTTTGCTGTTTGTTTAGCTTTCACTCTAATTGTTATTGCTTTTTTTCTATACTCATGTTTAACATGTGCATTACAAGAGCCACTACTTTGCAAGTTTATTAACCTACATATATACTATTTATAATCAGGTCAAGATCAAATTATATACTGTTTTGTGGAGAAATATTTTCCTGTGACATGAATGCTATATCTTAAATTGCAAAATAGCATAAATGCTTACATGAAGATTTGTAGTATTAAGTAGAAGAACTAGAAGCTAAGAAATAACTCAACAAACTATGAAACCCGAATGCATAAAGTACCATACATGTACTT